GTGTGAAGTGACATCTCCTTGCAGCTCCTCCTTTTTCTAAGTTCACCCACCTGCTTGGCCTGACCCGTGTCAGGGAGCAGCACACTGGCTCCCCTGTGCTGGCATCACCCGAGATCAGTTGACAACACATGGGGTGAAATGCTTTACCATGGGTGTGTGTAAACCCACGCTTGGTTTTTCCAACATCCTGTCTTTAACACACACCAATTTGGCCTTGCTTTCTTTTCTTTATTTTTGAATGCAGGATGTATTGAGAGAACAGAGAAGCTCCCACCGTGGGAGGGGACCCAAAGGGTGCCCCTGGCCTTGTTTTCAAGTGTTAGTATCTTTGAGCTTGGGCTGTATCTTGTGATTAAAACGGCAAATCTTTGTCTTCGCTTGTCATCATTTTTTCTCTCCTTCCTTCCTTCCGTCTTTCTTTCTCCTTTCCCTTCCTTTTCTCCTTTCCTCCCTCCCTCCCTCCTTCCTTTTTCTGGTCTTTCTCTCTCTCTCACTCTTGCTCTCGCTCCTGCATCCAGAAAATACTGGTGCTCTTACAACGCACAGCAAATTCGATCCACGGGCAGGTGATGCCGGAGAGGGCCTGTGTAGCCGGCAGGGGGGTGGAGGGCCTGCGAAGGACTCGGCTCCCTCTGGGATGCCAGCAGCGCTTGTTCTCCGGAGGCGGCCTGCCCCGGTCATTCTTATCCTGGACACAGTGGCTTCCTACAGCAGTTCTCACGGGGGTCCCTGCGTGATGCTGGGCAGCCCTCCAAGGTCCAGGCCGCAGCCCTGTCTCCCCTGCCTGCTCTCCACGTGGGGCCAGCTCTGGTGTCCTTGCCACCCGCCTGCTCCTCGTCCTGCCTCCGCTCTCTCCTCCTCCTGCTCTTCCTGAGCTCCGCCTCCCCCCTCCCAGCCCCTCCCCCGGCCTCGCCCGCGTCCAGGGCTGTGACAGGGCTGCTTCCTCCCCGGGGCCCACCCCGCCCGAGTCCTCCACGGGGGCTGCCACCTTTTTTGAGCGTTTCCTCTGGCTTCTATTTTTCTCTCCCCCGACCCTTCCTCTGTTTTTCTCTGCTTCGCCCCACTCCCAGCCACACCCAGCTGGAAGGCCTCCGCTTTCTCCCCACTTCCTCCCGAAATCCCCGGCCCACGCTCCCTGTCCAGCCCGCCCCGGCTCCTGGCGCGCACGCCACCTGCGGCCTCAGCTCCTCCCAGCGCTGACCCGCGCTGCAGGGCCTGGGGGTTTGCCAGGACCCGTTCGGCCCCAGGGCGGGGTGCCCCAGCCTCTGCGCTCGCCAAGACCACCCTCCACCGATTCCTGGCCACACCCTCCACCCCGGTCCACGCTCCAGAAGGCCAAACGTCAGGGCTTCCTCCAATCTGTCCAGCCTCAACATACCCAATGAGGCCCTGGCTAGAGTGGGCGGCGGGATGGAGGGTGCCCTTTGGCCTCCACGGTAGGGCTTGGCAGGGCAGAAGCCCTCTGCTCTCGGGGTGTCTCGCGCCTTCTCGAGACCTTTCTCCCCCACATCACCCCTCACTGCTCCCCAGCTTTGCCTCCAGCTGGGAGAGGAGGGGAGAGCTGGGGCCAGACCCCATCTTGCCCTCCTCCTGGCCAGCTCCCCCTTCTCTTGGCCTTTTCTCCCAAGGGTCAGGCCCCTCCCTTCCTTCACATCCGCCACGCACGGGCCTCACGTCCCAGGCGAGCTGTCTTGCAGGAAGAGCTATCCTCTCCCTCCTGGGAGGGGGCGTCCACGGTCGTGGGACCGGCGTGGTTCGTGACACGGTCAGGAGGCACCTGTGGACGCAGGGCACCTCTTGCTGGGCCCAGCCTGGTGTCCACCCAGCCTGTCTTATTGCAAAGTCAGGTCCTCTCCTGCACCTGCTTGGCGAGAGAAGCCGCAGGATCTTGAAAGGAGGAAAAGAATTGGGAAAAGGTGGCACATACGCCTTGATAGGTATCGGCTGGTGGTTCATTCTTCACCAGCTTCCGAAGGCCCGCCTGGCACGCGGGAGAGGGCGGAATGGCCCCTGTCGCCCTTCAGACAGAGTGGGGGCATCTGGAGGGGCCTCGGTTCCCACTCCCAGCAGGTGTCTTGTCGAGTCATGGAAGATGCTCGCTGTGGCTACTCCGGGGGCCCACGGCTTGGTGGGCTCTTCCCATTCTGCGTGGCAGAAACCCCAGCTCAGGCCCACTAAGTGGAGGGGAGAATTGTTGGCTCTTGGACCTGGACAGTCTAGTTTTCCAGTGTGCGCTTGGCGGGCTCTGACACAGGAATGGCAAGTGTCTGGCACCCAGAGTGGCTCCTCGCCACCCCGACTCTGTGGAAGCCAGTCCCGCAAGAACCTTCTCCCACCCTTCTGGCTCCTGTCCCATCTGGTCCAAGTCGGCACTAAGGCCACCACCTGTTTGCCATGCTGGTCCTAACTTCTTCCTTCTCTGGCTAATCCCTAATTGGCCCTCTTGGCGTCGTTGCCAGGAAATGCCACATCACCTCCTCCAGGAAGTCCTCCTTAACTGGCCCTGTCATTCTTCTTTCTCAGCTTTCTGTCACACCCAGGGATATCATATAGGCAATATGTATATATATCGAGGCATCGATTATGGTGTGTAGTATCAATGTGTCTGCTTGTCACACTCGAATGCAAAGGTTTTGAATTGAGTGCTAGGTCTTCTTAATCTTTGTACTTCCAGAACACTAGGTAGAGCCTAATATACAATAGAGGCTCAGAAATTTTAGTTGGATACGTGAATGAGAGACTGCATGAATCACTGAACAAATGAATAACCCAGTGGCGGGGCCGTTTTGGAGATGAAAGAGGAGTAAGCCTCTTCAAAGAAGAAAACCTTTCCTGCTTGTGTCTCCCTTCCTCGTGGCCGAAAGACAAGGTCATGCTGAGTACCCGACGGTCAGTGCTGGGGACACAGTGATGCTGGCGACTCGGTGATGCTGAGGACGTGGTGGTGATGCTGGGGACTCAGTGATGAGGAGTCTGCAGACAGGTGGCGATAGGGACGTGGTGATTCTGGGGGCGTGGAGGTGCTGGTGACACAGTGATGCTGGGGCATGATGCTTCTGGGGGCCATGGTGGCACTTCTTCCTTCTTTGGGCCTCTCAGTGGGGGCCAGATGGCTGCTCATGGCCACAAGGGCAGGTGAGAATCCAGGAGGAGGAAGGGCTGGCCCGGGGTGGCCGGAGGAGCTGGTCTAGCCTGCAGGGTGGTGAGAAGAGCAGCCTCGAGGAACTGGGGACGGGAGACGACTGCAAAGCGAATTGTTCAGCCAGTCCAGAGACGAGGGAGTCTGTAAGGCCTGTCCTGCACCCACCACGATTTTGAAACTGAGAGAAGCGTTCTCGGGAGATGTGGCGCGGAGGGAAAAGAAGGTGGAAAAGGGAGCAGCGGGCCCTGGCTCACCCTGTGTGTGTCACACCTGCACCAGGCAGGATGGCTGTGGCCTGCAGTGTGCACGTCCCAAGAGTGCAGGTGGCTCCAAATCGCCTGAAGCCGGAGGGACTCCTTCCCCGATCGTGACCGCACAGGTGCCGACTTGGGCAGGTCCGGCTCTAGTGCGAGGCTCTGAGAAGCATCAGTGTTACTCGCCTGGGTGTGTTTCCTGGGCCCGATGCGGTGCCACGCGTGGGGCTGCTGCCCTGAGTTCCGTGGCTTTCGTGGACCGGGCCAGAGAGGATGCAGACTGGTATGCAGGAACTGCCGGCGAAGTTGCACTGAAAATGGGGGCTGCCCCAGCCACGGAGGGCGGGGAGGGCTTCACAAAGGAGGGAGACAGAGCAGGTGCAGCAGGACGGGGCCACCTTGTTGGGAGAACCTCAGAGCAAGGCGGCCTGATTGGAGTGAAGAATTTCCGTGTGAGAAAGTAGCAGGACATGCTGGCTGAGGGGCAACTGGGCCCCGTGAGAGAAGCCCGGGGACTGTGAGATGAAGGGCCCAGGCTTTTTCTGCGGCCACTGGGGAACTGCTCGAAGGCTTTGGAGCACAGGAAACGTCTGGGTGAAAGTGGCCACAGGTGCACAGAGCAGGGGTGGCCATCTGAGCCAGGAAGAGCGCGAAGGCTTGTGCAGAGTCGGGCTGGTACCAGGCTCCACTGTGGTGGGAGCAGGAATGGACAGTGGGCAAATGACCTTGACCTGCCATGGGGGGGGGTCCGAGTCCCTGGTCTCCCCTCCTGGTGGCAGTGAGACGGGACATTCACTTGCAGGGCTTGCCATGCACCTGGCAGGGACTTGGGGAGACGTGAGAGGCAGCATTGTCTTTATATTAAACATCAGTATGTGATGAAGAAAGCCCGTGGCGTCCAGCAGAGGCGTGCTCTTTGGGTTAAGGACACAGAGCTGTCATCCACACTCCTGTCTGTCCCTGGGACTTGGCACCAATGCCTCCCGCTCCAGCCCTCTCACCCAGCATCCTCAACAGTGGAGTCCAGGGAGGCAGAACCCCCCCGGCCACACAGGGAGCCCTCCCGAGAGGGGACACGCTGCCCCGGTTGCCTGATCGCTTGCCTGGGCGCCCTGCCTCTGTGCCTCCTGGTCTTCTCTCTTCTTCCCCGCCCCCTCTGGAGATGCACAGCTCACGTATTATCCAAGGGAGTTCAAGGTGAGGGGGAGAGGGAGGAGAAGCAGTGAGAGGAAGGAAAAGGACTTACGGATACGTGCTCTATGCCAGGCGCTTTATCTACACAAACTCGTTGACTTGCCATCAGCACCATGCAGCGACGCCTGCCGCATTCTATGAATGGGGCTGCCCAAGCCCAGATTATGTCATGACCCTCCTGGACCCCACGGGCAGTGAGGGGTGCTGCTGGGACTTGAACTTGGATCTGCCTGATGCCACACCTTTGGCCTTCCTTCCATTCCGTCCACAAAGACCAGCCTGCCCCTACACAAAGGAGAGGAGCAAATTTGGGGTGGGCAGGAAGCAAAGAAGGGGAGAGGCAGGAAATGTGACCCCCGCAAGCTGCTCTCTGATCCACCTCTTCCCTTGGCCTGTTTCAGCTTCCTGGGCCTCCACGCCATGAACAGCGCCCCGAGGGATGCCCCGGCCCTGGGCCACCGTGAGTGCCTCCTGTCCGCTGTGGCTCGCACCCCCTCGGTCACCCAGGTCCCGCCAGCCAAGAAGATTACCTTCCTCAAGCGTGGGGATCCCCGGTTTGCGGGGGTCCGCCTGGCTGTGCACCAGCGCACCTTCAAGAGCTTCAGCGCCCTCATGGACGAGCTCTCCCAGCGCGTGCCTCTGTCCTTTGGGGTGCGCTCTGTCACCACCCCCGGGGGCCTGCATGGCCTCAGCGCCCTGGAGCAGCTTGAAGATGGAGGCTGCTACCTCTGCTCTGACAAGAAGCCCCCCAAGCCCCCCAGCGGGCCAGGCCGGCCGCTGGGGAGAAGCCCTGCCACCCAACCGGCGCGGGATTCCGAAGGCCGGCGTGAGGCCCCGGGAACATCCTCCTCCTCGAAGGGTCTTAAAGCCCCAAGGAAGGTAGTGCTGGTTAAGAACACAGACCCCAGACTCCAGCAGACGGTGGTTCTCAGCCAGAGAAACACTAGGAACCTGGCGGCCTTTCTCAGCAAAGCCTCGGATGTCCTGTGCTTTCCCGTGAAGCAGGTGTACACAGCCAGTGGAAAAAAGGTAGGCTGTCGGGGTCTGATGGCTCCTCTGGAAAGTTCTTCAGACCCCAGGTCGAAATGCTTAGACAGAATCGGGAGGTTATTCCTTAGAAGGAGGCACTTGCCTGAGCCCACGGGTTTGAGACCAGCCCGGGCAACTTGGTGAGACCTCGTCTCTACAATAAATTTTTTTTTTTTGAGTTGGAGTCTCACTCTGTCACCCAGACTGGAGTGCAGTGGCCGCTCCCGGGCAG